TCCTGCTCCGCACCCACGTCATCCTCCTTCTCGCCCTCTCCCTCCCCCCCTTTCCAGCGCACCTCCTCATCATCATCCCTCTCATTTCTTCCTCCCACTCCTCCTCCCTCTCCTCCTCCTCCTCCTCCTCCTCCTCCTCCTCCTCCTCCTCCTCCTCCTCCTCCACCTCCACCTCTTCCTCCTCCTGCTCCTAGTCCCTCCTCTGTTCCGCCTGCTCCTTCATGCCAGGGATTCCTTCGCACTCCCGATGCCGCTTCCGGGAGGCATCCTCGCCAGGGATGTCCTCGGACAGGTAGCTTGGGCCTGGTCCCGTCTCCATCCTCCACTGTTATCAATTTGTCCTCCTCCCTTTCTCATGTGTTATCATTTGTTATCTTGTGTTATCATTTGTTATCATTTGTTATCATTTCTCATTGTTATCATTTGTTATCATTTGTTATCATTTGTCCTTTCTCCTGCCCCATTCCCTGCTCACCGCGCCCTCGCCCGAGGCATCTCCACGGTTTGCTCAAGCACAGCTTCCCCCCCCCCGTCGGGCCAGGGGCGCCGAGGCTCCTCCCGGAGCACCACTCGCCAACAGCAGAGCAACCAGACGATTCGTTTGGGTCTGACCCCTCCTCCCTCCTCTCTCCTCCCTCTCCCTCCCTCTTCCTTCCTCTCCCTCCCTCCTCCCTCCCTCCTCCTCCCTCCTCTCTCCTCCCCTCCGGAGCCCAGAATTTCAAGGATGCTTCAAGCGAAGCGTGCCAGACCACCTCGCGCGCAGCATCTCGGAGCCCCGAATTGCGGGAACGTCTCAACGGCCTCGCGCGCGACATCTGGGAGCTCAGAGTTGCAAAGATGCCTTAGGCGGCGCACAATCCCCTCCTAGAGCACAGTTCGAAAATAAAGAGAATAATACAATGTTTCGTTTCCGTCTGACCCTTCCTCCCTCCTCTATTCTCCCTCTCGGAGCCCAGAGTTTCAAGGATGCCTCAGGCGAAACGGGCCAGACCATCTCGCGCACAGCATCTCGGAGCCCAGAGTTGCGAGGATGTCTGACACGAAACGCGCCAGACCACCTCGCGCGCGGCGCGATGGAGCCCAGAATTGCCAGGATTTCTCACGCGAGCGGCATCTCGGAGTTCAGAGTCGTGAGGACGTCTCCAGCGAAATGCGTCGCGCCCACTCGCGCGCGGCACCTCGGAGCTCAGAGATGCCAGGCCAGAATGTCTCGGGCGAAACGGGTCAGACCACCTCGCTCGCAGCATCTCGAAGGTCAGAGTTGCGAAAATGTCTCGGGCGAAGCGCGCCAGACCACCTCGCGGGCGGCATCTTGGAGCTCAGAGTCGTGAGGATGTCTCCAGCGAAACGAACTGAACCACATCGCGCGATCTGGAGCCCAGAGTTTCGAGGACGTCTCAGGCGAAACAAGCTGGACCACCTCGCGCGAGACACATGGGAGCTCAGACTTGCGAAGATGTCTCAGGCGGCGCCCAGACCCCTCCCAGAGCACACTTCGATAATAGAAACATAATCGGACAACGACGTGGAGAAAAAACGCACGTATGCGACAACGATTCGTCCCTGCTGCGTAGCTGTCCATTCGGTAGGGGGAGAGCGCGGGAGGAGAGAAATACCCCCCCACGGAGGGGCGACCTATGAGGAGGTTGGCGGTCAGCTTCGACACCAGCATCAGCAGCTCAAAGAAGACGCCCTCGAAGATGGAGGGCAGAGCGCCCACCACCGCGCCCAGCCAGCCTCGCTCCTTGGGAGGAGGAACGGCAAAAACATGAATCTTCAAGTGATCTTTTTTTTTCAGCGTTTCGACACTGGGCGGAAGGGGGGGGGGTCTGGCTCCAGACCTCTGCTTAGTGCGACCGTTGGCAAGAGTGCTGCCTCTGGGGGAGACTTCAACCGCTCGAAACAGTCGCCAAGAAACAGCCAAGATCTACTCCAGGGGGGGGAAGGGGCCCCCGGCCGATCGGCAAAACAAGGAATAGAAAAACGATCACCAACGGTCCGCGCGGAGTTCTTGGGTCGGCGCTGGGCCCCCTCCCTAGTGCGCGGAGCGCGCCAGGGGCGGCGCTGGAGGCGTCGCCAGGGGCGTCCAGCGCAGATCCAAGAAATCCGCACGGAGCTCCGAAAGTTCAGGGTTGTGTGTTCTGTCTTCGATTCGGAGGGGAGGATGCGAGGCGGGAACAGGGGGCTGGCGAGAGGGGAGGCAGTCTGCCTAGGACCACTGCCTTAGAAAGGCAGTGGTCAATAAGATGCTCCCCCAAATGCCACGCTTGGCGTGTCGCGGCTTAGCGTATCGCGGCGGCGGCACCAGCGGCGCGCTATGCATTGCATAGAAGAGGAAGAAACGCATACATAAACTTTTGGCGCTCCGCGCGGATTTCTTGGATCTGCGCTGGACCCCCCCTCCCTAACGCGCGGAGCGCGCCAGGGGCGGCGCCAGAGGCGCCGCAGGGGGGGCCCAGAAATCCGCGCGGAGCGCCAAAAGTGTATGACGGATAAGCGGATAACGTGAGGCGCGAATCCGCGCGAGGCGAAAATCCGCGGATAAGCGGATCCACGAATGAGACGTGATAACGGATAAGCGGATCCGCGCGAGGCGCGAATCCGCGATTCGATTGTAAGCGGATAGCGTGTCGCTCCGCTTCGCGGGGCGGGAGGCCGGAAAAAGCTCGGAACGCTGCGGCTCGGGGACCGGGGATTGTGCAAAGCGTCTCGCGCCGGAAAATGATGGGCCAGAACGGGCGCCGCGACACGCTGAGCCAAAGTTCCTGACCGTACAGCAGGGGCCCGACCACAAGAAACCTTCCACAAGAAACCCAACCCTGAGACCCCAGGACGTCCCTTGATTTTTTGGGGGGAACGCCATGCCTTTCATAGCAAAACCATGGAAAGCCAAGAAACCCAGGGCGCCCTGGAGGCAAGCAGGGTGTTTCTTGGCATGGGCCTCCACTGTACTCCATGACGACGTCCACCTTCCACGTCTGCTGGGGGCGGGGGTCCAGGCTCGCCCCTTCGTCCCCCTCGCAGTGTTGTGGAAGAGAATGACAGACCGGGGGTGGAAAGAGGCGAGGCGCGGGCATGGGAGTCTTCTGGGCGAGCAGCAACGGAAGCAAAGAGGAGGAAGGAAGAGAAAAGGGGAGCAGGAGACGGAGGCGGAGGTGGAGGAGGAGGAGTGTGGAAAAGAGTGCGCGAGTCCCCAGAGGCCGAAAACCACCGGAGTAGAAATAGAAGCAACGGCATCAACATAAACCGTTGGCGCTCCGCGCGGATTTCTGGGATCTGCGCTGGACCCCCCTTCTTGGCGCGCGGAGCGCGCCAGGGGCGGCGCCGGAGGCGGCGCCGGGGGGGCCCCAGCGCGGATCCACGAAATCCGTGCGAATAGCCAAACGTTTGTGTGAATGCTGTTATTTGTTCGTCTTCGACAGAAACCTCTCGTCGCGGTCTTCCACGGTGCGAGCATGTCAGTGTCTGGGGGGTAACAAATCGATCCCTGGAACTGTCCCACAAGGGGCCTCCTGGAGGCCCACAAAGACAAAAAGTTAAGCCTCGATCCTCGATCCTCGAACCTGCTTGGATCTGCAGCCTGTCGGGGGAGAGAGCCCCCCCTCCTCCCCCCGCGCGACCGGCCTCGTCTGCTTTCCTTCCCCTTGCACGCCAAACAATTCGCCTTTCGGTTGCCCCGATTAGCCTCGCCGACGAAAAAAATGTCTGAGGAGAGAGGGTGCGGGGATTAAGGCGGCGGGAGAAGCGCCGGCGCACTCCTGGTCGGCGGAGAGGCATTTCCACTCGTCGTCGCCCGCCTGGACGCGCCAGGGCGCCCCCGGGAGCGGGGAGAGCTCGAGGCCGCAGGCAGCGGCGCTTCTCTTCCCCGGCCTCGCGCCCCCCCTCCTCTCCGCCAACCCCCCTCCCTTCCCTCCTCCTCCTCCTCCTCCTCCTCCTCCTCCTCCTCCTCCTCCGCCTCCTCCGCCTCTTCCGCCTCCTCCGCCTCCGCCCGCCGCCTCCTCCGCCTCCTCCGCCTCCTCCGCCTCCGCCTCCGCCTCCGCCTCCGCCTCCGCCTCCTTCTCCTCGTCCTCGTCCTCGTCCTCCTCCTCCTCCTCCTCCTTCCTCCTCCTCTCCTCCTCCTTCCTCCTCCTCCTCCCTCTCCTCCTCCTCCTCCTCCTCCTCCTCCTCCTCCTCCTCCTCCTCCTCCTCCTCCTGCCCCCTGTCAAGAGCTCGGCCCCTGGGACCCCTCCTGGAGCGCGCCCCGGCCAGGACCTGGACACGAACCCTACCTGGGTCGCCCAACTTCGCACGCCGCACCCCTCACGTGCGCGACGCGGTCCTCGCTGCCACATCTCCGACGACATGCTTCTTGTCGGCCGGCGGCGCTCCCTCGGTGTCGGCCCTCGGGGGCCTCTCCCGGGCCCCGGGGCCACCGGCAACGGGCCCGGGACGAGAAGCGCTCCCTGCAGGGAAGGGCTCGGGACCTCTGGGGGGGGGCCGCGCGTGGAGAAATCATACGGCGCTGGACGTCCGGGTCTGCAGCTTGTCCCCCGAGGTACTGACCCAGAACGGATAATGTGACAACTTTGGGTCGGTTTTGCTAAGTTTTGAAAGATATTTGAGTATTCATTTTGAGAAACCAGATTTTTCGCACCTGTGAAAGACTATGAGGGCCTCTGCGTCTGAATATGAGCTCCGTAGGGGCACTTTTACTATCAAAACACTTGGGGGAACCAACCCTCGTCAAAGCCGTAGCCCCGACCACCCACTGATTGCAGATCGTGCATGCTGGTTTCCACTGGGGGGCCCGCCGTGACTCCCACTGTGCGGGCTCAATCTACAGAATCAGATGTAGCTGTATGGCCCTGCCCATTCAGCCATTGCCGTCCAGGGCGGATGCTCGTGGTGATTGCCTCCCGAGGGCTGCAAAAGAGGGCATCACTGGCACGGCCGAGCCTTCATGTTGACCTCTTTGCAACCGCCCCAGTCGAAGATGACCCACACCTCGAACCACACGATCCAGCTGAAGAAGGCCTCAGGGCTCGGGTGGAGCGTTCTGGACGTTTTCTGCACGATTTGAACTGGACCTCCTGTTTTGTCAAACATGCACGTGGACGCTCCGACACTGCACCCAGGGCCACGACTCCTGCCGTCAGCGTTCTCGAATACCTGCACGCTCTCAGCAAGAAAGGTAATCCTGCACGTGCGCGCGGACACCTCGTGGAGGGCCAAGCCATGGGACGCTTACCCGGAGTGTCCCGTCGCAAATGGCGTCGGGCATTGAGAACAAGAATGAGAGGCAAACAATACAATGGAGAAAGCAGCAAAGGGCCAAGCGTTGGTCCTTCGTGCATGAACAAGGGCGCGGAGTCACATGATGCCGCAAACCCCAAAAAATGAGCTGCATCGCCAGAACTCCTCTTTGGGGCACGATCCCCCGGGCGCGCCGGTAGGCTCAAGGATCTGGCGCGAAAGCCCCGGGAGCGAGATTCACTGAAGGGGTCCCAAATCATAGGACCCATGCAAGCAAGCCAGCAGGCAAGCAAGTCGAGTACGGACAGTGCGTGACGCGCACTGCCACGTGCCCCCAAACAGGGCTCGACAGTTGGCAGCCGTGGATGCCACTCTCACCGCCTACAGAACTCGATGTAGTCGTCTTCCATTTGCTTCCAAAGCCAGGATCGTAGGACCCATCACCCACGTTTAGATTGGCATACGACAAGATGTACCCAGCCATGTGCCTGACGCCTCGGAGACCCCCTGAGGTTCTCACCCCGACTCCCACCGACCTTCCTCGCCGCTTTCATCAAGCTCGCATGGCGAGGAGGAGGGGAAGAGGAGGGGAAAGGGTGAGGGAGGGAAAGGGGGGGGGGGGAGGCTGAGGAGCGGTTGCACAATTCTCCCTCCTTCCCCCCCTTCCCTCCCCAGTTCCAGTCCCTCCCTCCCTCGGGTGGAAGCTCTCTCTATCTCTCTCTCTCTCTCTCTCTTTCTCTCGGCTCGAGGCTCTCCGACCCAGTGCGCAGCCGTGACGCGAAGCCCCCATCGCAGACATCAGCTTTCTCCGCGCACGGCGAGACTGGACACACCGCATCCCATGGTGCGACTGATTCGCGTCATCTTCATCTTCCCGCACGCGCCGCATAGGCTCCTGAGAGCCCGCGCCGTGTGCTTCGCGTACCACTTCAGCCCAAGCCACCAGGCAAAGGCCGCCAAGCCTCCTGTCCAGAGAGTTTCTCGTGTGCCAGGAGGCCTGCACCACTGCTCTCCAAAGCAGTGGCGGCGCAGACCAGGCTGCCGCAGCCTACGACGAGCTTGTCCAACAGCACCCAGCAGACCTCGAAGCCGTTTACCAATAACACCGTTCCAACCAGCTCCGACTCAGGAGCGAGCTGACGAAACTGCGCAGGCAATTCAAGATCAGCTACAATGGGCTGATGTTGACCATCACGCACACTGCGGGCATCAACCGTGACCCACCAGGGTTCACGGCCCCCGCCGTTATCCAACAGGCCGTCGGGGTACAACAGATCTCCACGGGGGCGAGAGAAGCAGGAGGAGGAGAAGCAGGAGGAGGAGGAGGAGGAGGAGGAGGGGGAGGAGGGGGAGGAGGAGGAGGGGGAGGAGGAGGGGGAGGAGGGGGAGGAGGAGGGGGAGGAGGGGGAGGAGGAGAAGGAGGAGGAGGAGGAGGAGGAAGGAGGCGGGCGGAGGGGGAGGTGGAGGAGGAGGAGGAGGAGGGGAGGAGGAGGAGGAGGCGGGCGGAGGAGGAGGAGGAGGAGGAGGAGGAGGAGGAGGAGGAGGAGAGGAGGAGGAGGAGAGGGAGGGGAGGTGGAGAGGAGGAGGAGGAGGAGGAGGAGGAGGAGGAGGAGGAGGAGGAGGAGGAGGAGGATCATCATCAGCCTCGACGCACCAAACTGGGACGCCCCGACCGCGCCAGCGCCCAACAGGGCCGCCCACGGGACCTCGCACACCAACAGCATCCCACAACTCCCTTGGCGAGCGTCAAGAGCCACCAAGCTGCGACGAAGACTTGGACGAAGACTTGGACGAAGACTTGGACGAAGAGAGGGGGAAGAATGAAACGAAGCCTTGCTAGAATGGTTATCCCAACCAAGCGTCCGGGAGGTCTCCGATCCAACCGAAGCCCCGTTCCGCAGCCTCGAAGCGGAGCACCAGAGGATCGCGGACATTGTAATGGGCCTTGAAACCATCTTGAAGCCACGGTGACCTGTGCGGTCACAAGCCAGGCTGCACTGGCCCAGCGATGCCACCAGCTCGAAAAGGGATCGCCTCCGGCCATGCATGGCGAGCCAGCCTGAGCCCAGACCTGAGGGCCTTCTTGTCAAAGACCCGAGCCGAGCTGACGACTCGGCCGACGAACAGGGCCCCTGCGGCGCGGCGGACCTGCTGAACAGGGCGCCAGGCAGCGCGGGGGCCCTGCCGCCTGGCTTCGGGACTGAGCCTGGGCCCACCCACCAGGGTTCACGCAGGGCCCACCAGGGCAGCAGCGCTGCCCGACGCCACAGGCCTCGCCCCGCCATCTGCTCCTGCACCCACACAGGTCGGCCGCCGCTCAAATACCGCCCCCTAGGCTGGCATTCGCAAAGCCTGGCCACCCCAGGTTGCTCCAGGATGCCCACAGGAAGCCACGAGACGGCCACGAGAGCACAGGGAGCCCACAGGAGGGCCCCAAGCGGCCCCACAGAGGCCGAGACAGCCGAACATGGCCCCAGGGAACCTCCCGATAAGAATCCGACAGGCCCCCGGCACAGCCGAACGCGATGAAGAGCTTTCAACGTGCGAGTGCGCGTTGCCTCCGCCCGTTTGCCCGCCCGCCCCCCCCCGCCCCACCAAAAAAAAACACCCTCGCGTGCTGCCCAAAGGAAGCTCCCAGAGGCCCGCACGCTGTTGCAGTGATGCCCGAGATTGCTCCGAGGGAGATTTCGAGGCCACACGGTGCCGCCGAGATCGACCAAGACGGACAAACAGCGGAGGAAAAGAACACGAGGACGATGACCGAAACGGAGCGCAGAAATCTCCATCCTGGTCCTCGTGAATTCGTGGACCAGCCCCACGAATCGACGACCGCTGGCATGGACCATGACCCAGAATCGGCGTCGACAAAATCCCGAGCCCAGCAGCACTGAAGACCGGCAGGCCCATCCCAGGAGCCAAATTGGCTGCGGAGGCGGAGGAGAATAGGAATGAAAGGACAGGCAGTGGGAACGAGGGAGGAAGACGAGAAAGAGGAGGAGGAGGAGGAGGAGGAGGAGGAGGAGGAGGAGGAGAAGGGGGAGGAGGAGGAGAAGGAGGAGGAGTTTTGCCAAGCGGGGTCCCCAGAAACCCCGACCCTCTCACGGGGGCTGGCTTCGCAGCCCGAGTCGTGGTCTTGACGACCCCGGGGTCTGGCGCGGGCCCCGCGGGCCGAGAAGACGGCCAAAACCTCCCGCCGCGATCTGTCCTGAAGCGCGCGCATCTCTGGCCATCGCTCGGGCGTCCATTCCCTGTGCTCTTGCTCGGTTTCGTGCGTGGCTGTTTCGCCAAATGATCAAGGATGCTCCTCGGTGGTCCTCGCCGAAGGAAAACTACACACGTCCGAGCGATGCCAAGTATCTGGGGAAACGAAGTGGTACCGATACCGCTACTCCCAGGACCTCTGCTGGGGTGCGTTCCGACCAGAAATGCGAGCCGCATCCAGCGGTGGCGACGAGGGCCTCCCAGGAGGCCGAAAAGGGGGAAACGAGGCAAGAGAAGAGGTATGGGTACCTGTTCCTCCTTTGAATGTCTGGGTTGGTCGTGGTCCTCGTGCTTCCTCCCTCGAAAGACTGCTCCGACACTGGTCCAAGAGGGCCTCAAGGTGCCCCGCGTCAAGGGGGCGCAGCCCGAGGAGCAGCAGCAGCAGCAGCGCAACCGACGAGGGAGATCGGGGCAAGGCCGGGGATGGCAGCAAGGAGGAAACAATGTTTGGTCTGCGGGGCGAGAGCGAACCTCTTCCGAGAAAAGCCGGGCGGGCTACGCACAGCTCTCACTGGGGAGACGGGGCACAGGCGGCCGCGGATGGCAGCAGGGAGGAAACGAGCGACAGCGACAGGAGGGGCGGGGGAGTCAAAAGCCTGTCTCCCAACCATGACCGCGTCCTGCAAACAAGAAGAGAGAACTGCGGGAGGCTGCTGGCCGCGCGCGGCCTCTGGCCCTCGCTGGGCCCCAAGAGCGCCACGAAACGGCTCGGGAGGACAAACACCGGTGCCAGGGGAGAGGGGTCCAGACCTCGGCGGATCCACGGCGTGAGAAAAAACAGTGCGCTGGGGGGTCTAGGGATGCTGTGCATCGATTGGCCGACGCCCATCCCCACAGGCCTGGGCCCCGCTGGCCGATGTGTGCCCCTCTGGATGGGGGATGGAGGCTGCTCCGTGCAGGTCTCGAGGGGCACGTCCCCAACTGGGGCGGTGGGATGGTAGGGATCGGGATGGGGATGGGAATGGGGATCTGGCCATCGCTTGGGCGTCCATTCCCTGTGTTTTGTTCGGTTTCGTGCGTGGCTGTTTCGCCAAATGATCAAGGATGCCCCTCGATGGTCCTCGCCGAAGGAAAAATGCACACGCCCGAGCGATGCCAAGGGGTAGGGGTCGGTTAGACGATGCTGACCTTGGGGGGGTCTGGGGACGTGTCCCCCCCACCGCAGACACCAGCAGCCATCTGCAGGTCGCGTGCCGGAGGTGATCCAGCCACGGGGCGCGCGCATAGGGGGATGGGGGTCGGTTGAACGATGCTGACGTTGGGGGGGTCTGGGGCTGTGTCCCCCCCGCCGCAGACACTGGCAGCCATCTACAGGCCGCGTGCCCGAGGTGATCCAGCCACGGGGCGCGCACATAGGGGGATGGGGGTCGGTTAGACGATGCTGACCTTGGGGGGGTCCGGGGATGCGTCCCCCCACCGCAGGCACTGGCAGCCATCTACAGGTCGCGTGCCTGAGGTAATCCAGCCACGGGGCGCGCACAGAGACAAGCTGGCAGACCAGAAGCAACAGGAGGGAGGAG